TCTCTCTCTCTCTGTCTCTCTGTCTCTGTCTCTGTCTCTCTCTCTCTCTCTCTCTCTCTCTCTCTCTCTCTCTCTCTCTGGGGGAGGTAAAAAAAAAAAGAGCCTCTGTAGGTTGTGGTGCAACAAGGCTCCTTCTAAAGCCATCCAGACTGCTGATCTGGATGCGACTGAGGTTAGAAGCCTGTTTCTTGGCTGTTGGCTCAGCCTGTAGCGCTCAAATGTGTCTCGTGCAGCAGTCACCACTGGCGGTGCAATATTACAAGTCAAAGGTTGCACTGAGGCCGAGGTGATGCTGTTATCAGCTAGATGATAACAACATCGCAAACGGACAGGTAGATGATAACAACATCGCAGACGGACAGGTAGATGAGGTCACAGACAATCAGACCGAGAAATGTTGGCCCCCGAACGCAGCCAAAGAGGAGTGCCAGTTTATATCTGCCTCTCAAATGCAGATGAAGTTGCAGCCACCCCAGTGGGAGGGAAAAGGAGTTTGAGAAACGGCAGGTCTCACTCCCAGATTTAGACATGAGAGGCACGCACGCACGCTGTCTACAAAAATATGCAATTGGAGTCACTCTAAAATGTCTACATTGTACACATTAAATAAAAAATGAAGAACGAAACGAGTTGCAGTGGGGAAGTGGGAGAAATTACGGGGAGGCCGAGACCATTCAGGCAAAGCAGCTTATCTACCGAACTCCGTTGGGGTATAGAAACCGCCTTACCAGGAAAAAAAAGAAAGTTAAAGTGAAGTGAAAGGAAAGAAATTAAGTTGTAGACCATCTTCCGTTATGGTTATGGCTCACCCACCCCTCTGCCGTCTGAATCAGAACCCTAACACTGTGGGATGCACCACCCACAGGGCCCTTCATCAAGCCTGTGACATGAGTAAGACTACATGTGCCACCCTGCCGCCCCCCTGCCTCCCATGGATTTCCGCATCCCTCCAGTTTCCTCTGTGTTTCTCCCTGGGGGCAGGCAGTATGGGGGCCAATCGTAGAAGTAAAGTGGAATGGGGGCCAATCGTAGAAGTATGGGGGTCGTGCCCCCCCTGCCTCCCATGGATTTCCTCATCCCTCCAGTTTCCTCTGTGTTAAGTAAAGTGGAATGGGGGCCAATCATAGAAGTATGGGGGTTGTGGCCCCCCTGCCTGCCATGTATTTCCTCATCCCTCCAGTCTCCTCTGTGTTTCTCCCTGGGGGCAGGCAGTATGGGGGTCAGTCGTAGTAGTAAAGTTAAATCTCCCCTTGCTGTGAACATGGTGCATGAAACAGCTAACTTGCCAAGCCAACCTGCCAGCGTATATGGGGGTTGTGTCCTCCTTCAGAACTACCTGGGGGCTAAAAAGGTACCCGCGATAAGACAACGGCCTAGACGCCAGTCTTGGGCCCAGAGCAGTGGGGCTGTCACGGCTAGGGCATAATGAGTTGTGTCTACATCTATGCTGCGAAGTCTCCTCTTTGTGTGAGGGTTGTCTTGAATCAATTTCATTTTCCGTCACTTGATGTTACGAGTCAAGACTCAGTCTACTCTCGTCGGCGCCTAAAAGAATTACGTGTATGGCATGCTGTGTTGTGTAGCCTGATGATGTGCTGTCACTCTTTCGTTGACATCTCTGGAGTGTATGCGGATGCCACTGACCAATGTAAAGCCTTGTTCAGTGAGGCACTGTTATTCTATGCCAACAGAGATACTCGTGTGCACTTCCTCCTCTGTCTGCCTGTACTCAACAAAGCCACACAGTTCTTGCTCCATGTTTTGTACCGCTGGTGCGTGTGTGTGGTCATGATGTGCCTGGCCTGATGGGGTTTACATCATGTGATGTTTCATCTGCGCAAATGAATGAATTGGTGGGAAGAAGGAGAGAGAGAGAGAGAGAGAGAGAGAGAGAGAGAGAGAGAGAGAGAGAGAGAGGTTTCAGATTGGCCTCTGATGTCCATAATTTGCCTGTAACTGATCTTGGTCGGATGTTTGCTGTCAGTTGGAAGTTCTCATGCTGATGCGGACTCTTTGTGTCTTTTCTTCATCCTTCTTGTTGAAATGGCAGCATAATTCAACATCAAAGAATTGTGCAGTCTGTGAGAAGCCTACTGGGGGAGTGTTTAACACTGCGCGTGAGATTGTTCGTAAGATGCAAGAAGAGAAGGAGAAGGCGAGTGGCACTTTAGATGGTGGAAAACGCAGCAGAGGGAGCTGGCGTTCGTCATGATCACCGATTAGGAGGACCACATTCATGAATAGTGTACTTGTGTATAGGATGTGAGGAACATCCTCCTATATGCGTTTTTCATTTTTGGTTTCCCGCTTCTCTTCTCTCTCTGCAGTGCGAGGTAACTTTAGACGGGGGGGGCCCAAAACAGGCAGGAGGAGGATTTGAGAAAAAAGTGCTGGAGGGTCTTTGGCATTGCAGTTACTCTGGCGAAAATTCTTATGTGCCACGGTCCTTAGTACGTGTGAACTTTGAACATTGAAAAGAGAATGATCCTTCCAGAAGTCCGATGGAGCATCACATTGAAAGAAGAGCAAGAAAAAAGGACTTGTTTCCTCTCCTCCTCCTCCTCCTCCTCACTGCCGCCTCCTCACTCCGTACTCTCCTCTTCTGATCTCCACCCATGACACCAAAGCTTATGGGATCTGAACTCCGGGCTGCACACATTGAACTCTTTTGTTTCCTTACTTTTTTTTTTTGGATCCTTGAATCTTCATTTGTGGGGGCGAAAACTGAAGTCTCCTTGCACCACCCAGTACGTTTCATTTTGTTCCAACACGACAGTGAACACTCCACCTGCTTTGGGACTCGGCCTACCGAATGCAAAAGGCTGGCAGCAGCAGGCAAATTGGGATTAAGCCCGCAGGTGGAACGGCGGTTTAAGCCATTGGTTGGACACATAAGTGAATGCAAAAGGCTGGCAGCACCTGGTGAATTGGGATTAAGCCCGCAGGTGGAACGGTGGTTTAAGCCCTTGGTTGGAGACATAAGCGAATGCAAAAGGCTGGCAGCGCCTGGTAAATTGGGATTAAACCCGCGGGTGGAAAGGTGGTTTAAGCCCTTGGTTGGACACATAAGCGAATGCAAAAGGCTGGCAGCACCTGGCAAATTGGGATTAAGCCCGCGGGTGGAACGGCGGTTTAAGCCCTTGGTTGGACACCTAAGCGAA